CATTTTTCATTGTATCTATTACAATGTCACGCACTTGTTGCAAACCCATGTAAGAACCTAAGGCTGCCACATTATTGCCTTGCACTAAAATATAGCAATCAGTAAGCAATTCAATTGATTTAAGGGTTGCTCCATTGGGACCAATTAGGCGTTGACGGCGCTTCACGAACTTATCCTTTTTATGAACTAAATTTCCAATTTTAATGGTATCACAGCCAATTTGGCAAATGTTTAGTTATTGGCCCTCCGTTTTTGGGGTGGGGGGCGGAGGGGGTGGGGGCGGGCCCCCCAAACCCCCCTCATTCGAAAGGGGACAGTCGCCACTTTACGAAAAGCCCCACCCCCCCTTGGGGACCTCCCACAGACCCCTAGGGAACCGTTTGAAAATGGGGTAAAAACGTAATTTTCCGAGGCAAACTGAGCAGTTTCAAGTGGAATATAACCCAACTAACGAAAAACGTGGGATTTTTAAATAAAAGAAATTATCCCAAGTTGGTTATCAGGCGATTTGAAAAAAAAAATGATGGGGAAAAAAATTAACTAACAATATTGTGAAATTAAGAAAAAAGCGACAGATAGAAATGTTCGGCCGCACTTAGGGATTATAACCCTCACTACGTAGAATTCTCTTCTGTGTTGCCAAAGAAAGGGGGTTGAACACCTTTTGCAGAGAACACCTTTCTGCGTAGGCGGCCTTCGGCCGCACTTAGGGATTATAACCCTCAGGCAGTAGAATTCTCCTTTCTGTGGTGCCAAAGAAAAGGGGCCGAACACCTTTTGCATAGAACACCTTTCTGCGTAGGCGGCCTTCGGCCGCACTTAGGGATTATAACCCTCAGCGAAAGGAGCCACAGGGACAGTAAATACATATTTTCCATGGAAAGGTTTATATTTTTAATGCTGACTGGGTTATATCATATTTTCTTTTGTCTCTCATCCTTCTTGTATATTTAGCAGTTTGACAGCTAAACGCCACCATTTAATGTGCATATGCAACCAAAGGCAAACGCGTGGTTTTGAAGATGTTTTTATTTAATAAATTGTGATTGATAGATTAAAATTAAAGTAATAAAGAAAGTTGTAACAAGTCGAATAAAGTTTAAAGTGAAGGGGAATATAAAAATGCATTAGTGAAGTGGCTGCTTTAAGGAAGATAGGAGTGATAAATGTGAGCTATTTTCCGAATTTTACAAAAAAGGGCATATTTCAAACCCAATTTGTAAATAAATTAGTGACCAAAAATTACAATAGTGGATGTTAAAGTAATGGGTAGACCCTTGGCTACAAGTGTGTGCAATTTTTTTTTGGATCGGGTCACCCCTTTGGACGCAATACCCCGAAATAGGTGGGCCACTTACTAAACCGTACCCGCCAATTTCATCTTTTAAAACACGACGCGCTTGCTCGAAGGGAACGCTGCGCGCCATCAATTTTATCACATCCCGCGCCTTGATGATAATATAAGGATCCCAAGTTTTACGAGTAGTTTTCACAACCATACTACCCTCTACCAGATCTAGTTCCGCTTTTAAATGATAGTCTGAGAGACATTGTTTCACTAGTGGCCAGACTTCCTTGAGATATTTTTCTCTATACTTAGGAAATAGAGTAGCAAATGAGCTCTCTTCTATCATGCCACTTGGATTGTCCTCAGGTTTAAACTCGGGCACTTTTAGGGTCCACGCATTGTCCACTGGTTCATAGCAATCTTTTGTGTCTGCTGCTAGTTCCTTGTCACTCATTGTTATACTTTGCAGAAATTTTATATCGTCCTATAAAACAAAGCACTGATATAAATTAGTTGTCTCAACCTTAGTAATGGGCGAGTCCGAGATGTTTTAGTCGATTGTTCAAATATCTCGATTGTTCTCGATGTTTTCTCTCTAGACGAATTGCCACTACGGGTGGGTAACTCTGTAAATTTTGGTGTCCTGACTCAGTAACTCCAATGCACTCTAATGAGTCAGCACAGTCAGCTGGCACAAGTGTGCTATCGCACAATTGGTATGTACATCGAAATTATTGATGATGTTAGTAATTGAAATCGATTTAGAAAAGGTTATCCTTAGTTTCTGTTCGTAGCTGGCCGGCAAAATTTTAGAAAGCTGATTTCAACTGGTGAGTTCATTTGCAAAATAATTCTCTACTTAGTTTTGCTTGAGAGTTGTCACATAAGGAATCTATTAAATGGGCTATGCACGTAAGCGGTTACCCAACGCATAGCACTTCACATGTAGATTTCTTTTTGATTTTGATTTTTACGTAAAAATGGTATAGCAGTGCAAGTATGCATAACTGGGCTATTCGCCTTGCTTCTTTTTAAATTTAGTGGTCGTATATTCTATTGATAGTTAGTCTAGTGATGCCATCTATTATGGTACTTTTTGGAAGATCGTATTGTATGAATGTGTGAGCTCATCAATTGAGTTACCACATCGACACAGTTCTAAACAATGCAAGCCGCACCGAGCTTTGCAGTGTCAGCACATCAACTGAGTTATTATCGCCTCTTTAGCATACTGAGCTATACATTTGGGGTGTTCACAGTTCGTTCCAAATAGTGTCTCAAAATGTAGACGTCTACATTTTAAGACGTTTTCTAACCGTAACATCTGTGGTGTTGTTGTTTCCCATACAAAATTGGAAAACGACGCCGTCTACATTTTGTCACACTCAAAGGTATGTTTTTTAAGCGTCTACATTTTGCAACCTCGCAGCAGGGTTGCATTATGGCAATACTAATCACATTTTTTTTATTTATTGGGCACGTTTTCTGTATTTGCATTTAATTTGAGCGCAATTTCTGATGAAAAGAAACAAATCAAGGAAAAGAAATAACAAATATGACGAATTGCTAATTAAGTTAAATAATTACAATTTTTCAGAAACAAAATCGAAAGGCGACATATAAAAAATGCACGCAAGGAAGAAATGTCTGGCAACACCAGCAAAGTTTTGAGACGATTTTGCGACGACTGCTAGAAAGGGGTGCTCACAGTTTGATGCTAAAGATGTCTCAAAATGTAGACGTCTACATTTTCAGACACAATTTGGAACGAACTGTGAACACCCCAAATGTCAGCACATAAACTGAGTTACTGAACTACAAATTTTTTCAGAGGTGAGTCTGAGCGTGCGGCGCAGTTCTAAGAGTCAGCACAGTAACTCAGTACAGTGCTGAGTTACTCAATACTAATTGCCACTCGAAATTGTCGTGCTTAACTCGTCGTCTCCACAGGATAAAATTTAATGCTGTTCAGCTGCCATTTTGGTTGCTAGATATAAGTTATATCATTGGCAATATTTGTGTGGGCTTTTTATATCTTGATATAAGCATTTGTAAGATGGCTTCTAAAAGGTATTTTGACCCGATTTAATCACTTAAAAATTTGGAAAATAGACTATTTTACATCCAAGTACATAATAACAAATATCTTAATAGCAAACAGCTCAAGTAGATGGCAATATATAAGCCCTGATATATATTGCTCTTGAAGAGCAATAAGCGGTATCCATTGGATATTTATATTCTAACATATGTATGAAGATATAAACTTTATCCTGTGGAGACGGGCAGTAAGCTGAACTAACATATTCGCTAACAATCGACAAAATCATCTCGGCCTCACTGCTGGCCAGCGGTTGTTAAAACAACTCGATGGTTCTCTGTCGCAGACTCTGGAAACAAATCGCCATTCGCGTTTAACATTCGATAACAATCGGTCAAAACAACTCGAACTACTTATGGAACATGGCAACTTAATTGGACCTGCATGCAATAAATTTTTATGAAAAAAAATGGAATCATTGCAAATAATACATATCGTTACCTTAATATAGAAAGGCCTTAACTCATATAGTCGCTGAAATACAAAAATCCGTAACTAAGTAAAAATTCAAAATTCCCTTTTGATTGATTATGATGCATTTCATCGAATTCTAAGTCCCCACATAATTTTAAGCAATACAAATTTTTAGTTAGTTACGCCTTTTTTGCATTTCAGCGGCTATATGAGTTAGGGCCTTTCTATATTAAGGTAACGATATGTATCATAACTACGAGAAGCTCGGCTAAACACTAACAAATATGTAAGCGCCAGTCTATTATTGTTATTATTATTATAACTACGAAAAACCAAATAAGCATATCCTTATTGGTCGGTTAACAAATAAATGAAATCAATAATAGTAAATATTGGGAGTACAGACATCTAGGGATTGTTTTTTAATATTTACTTTATTAAGAAGACAAAAAACGGCGTGTTTTAATTATATGAACAGTAATTATACACAAAAACGTTATTTTTAGTAAATTTTCCTTAGCCCGCACGGTGGTCTTGAACCAGTCTTAAGTTTTATAAAAGTGTGTCTAAAATCGGCTATCGCGGCCTTTTTCTTCATAATTTGTAGGATCCAAATCCATCGAGATCAAAATCGTAGCTCATCCTTTTTTAGAGATATTCACATTTTTATCAACGCAGGAATCGTATACAAATTTGATATAAAGGTTATTATATATAAGTATATATAAACATACATATAGTCGTTTAAAGTACAAAACCGGGTATCGTGATTCTGCAAAACCGCGTAACTGACATTGGCTGCCAAAAATTGGATTTGCTCATACAAGCTCTTGGCTCAATCCTTATACATTCGTCCTGAAATATACTAGGCAGATATGCGATTGCTTTATAAAAAAGAGCACCATTTTGAAATATGAGTGTTTCTACACTCTAGAAAATGATTTCTACAACTTCACATACGCGGTTTTGCATTTTGCTGATACGCGGTTTTGCATTTTGGTGACACGCGGTTTTGCACTTTAAACGACGATATATTATATCATCGATGTTTTCGCAAGACCGCTTATCTTAAGGCACTCAAATTTTACAGGAGAGCGAAAAAATGGGTTTTCTTTGAAGGCATTGCCTTGATAGGCGGTATTTTCTCTAGCTATTATGTTATAAATCTGTTGCTTTAATAACGATTTTATGATTTTTATGCATAAATTTCGATGCCTGGAGTTCAGGGTTACCAAATCTCATTTTTGCCACAACGGCGATTTAGGTGGTTTTGCAAAAACGTCGACGATATACATATATATTTGAATTTGAAGCAACCATAGAGCTTATAACAATAAAAAATGTTTTGAAGTTATTGCAATTTCTGGCAAAGTTGACCCTTCACTAAACGTCCTAAAGTAGCTTCCGGGGAACCCAAAGGTTTCATAGAAAAGTACCAGGGCTCCGTGAAGTCATTAATTTTTCGCAGTTCAATAATTCAACAGATACATAAGTACAAATCGGGGACCAGCCACAATCGCTTAAAATTCGGCATGAATAAGCATGGTGGTCGGCAGTCGATTTGAGTTGCACACGCCTTACTGAGTTCATTAAACAGCATGAACGAGACGCAGTTATCCTTTTTCGAGTATGTGTACTCTTGGTCGGCAAAATCCTCTTAGCTGTATCCAGGGTTGCCACTGACGAAAAAAAATATTTACCATCCACTTGGAAAAAATCTACCAAATCTGGAAAATATCTACCAATAACCTTTTTTTACATGGTGACATGGTATTTGAGATCATATTAATGTCATCTTCGCGGTTTTTCTTAAACCAAAAGCGAAAGTGATGAAACTAAAGGCAACAACGAAACTTTATCATTAAAAAAGCGCTTGGTATTTTTTTAAATATTTTAAGTAAACATTTTTTTGTTCTTTTCTTATAAGAAAATTGTTTTCGCTTTAACTAAACGCATACAAATCAAGGACGTTTACAACATTCCGAAAAAATCAAAAATATTTCATCTAAATTTCGAACTTTTTACTCTGACTTTTTAGAACTATTTTCGGTGTGCATGGAATTGTGTATAACCAACAATGTGCAGCTAAAAACTCCATTTGATTCAAAAAATATATTTGCCGCCGGAACTTTGTGTTTTAATTTTCATTTGATATTTATAAAAACTTTCGGTGACTTTATAATTTTTTTTTGTACAATCATAGCATGTAAATACAAGCCTGCCCATTTTTTCTTTTTTTTAAAGAAACATTTAAAATGCTCAAATGTTCAAAGGCTCCTCAAGATTTCAGTGAAATGAGTTTTTAATGGAGCACGATTTGTTCGCGTTTTATCGATAAACATACTCACATATGTAAATATGTATGTATGTACGTATATAAAAAGTGTGCATTAAGCATTCGAAAATTAATGCAATAAAGAAGACTACACTTTTGGAAATAAAATCATAATACAAAGATAACTACGTAAAATAAAGCGGGAACAAAATTTTAGTCGGTTTTCAAATAAAATACTTTAACAAAAGTGTACCAGAATGACAAAAAATTTACCTTTTTACCAACGCAAATTTTTTCTACCAATTTTGGTAATAATTTACCAAAGTGGCAACTCTGGCTGTATCCTCCCCGCGGGTGCCGACTGGGCAATGGGCGTCGCTGCTGTCACCGCGATGACTTAGCACCTAGGCTAGTACCTAGAGCAGGTCTTGGCGGTGCGAGTAGGCAGCGTCTAGCGAAGGCAGGAATACGTATCCATCCTTCTCTTCCTAGTGCTTTGCTCTGCATATCAAACTGGGGGAGGGGGTGTATGCCTACTTCTGCCATTGCTAACGAGGTACCTGGCGGTAGGTATAAAACGCCAAGGGTAGAGGTTCCCTAACATAAAAATTCTACATGGAGGTCAGAAAAGATGAAGAGCGGGCTGGGAGATCAGCCCAAACGTCGGTGGGAGAAGTGGCTACTACCACCGGCAGGCACATCGAGTCTACTCGCTGTGTCGCCAGCGGGCACACCTCTGCTGTGAAGCGAGCGGTTCACAGCAGTTGTATTGCTACTGCCAAACCGACGCTAAAGCACAGGGGTGCCACAGTGCACGAAGACTCGGACCTCGAAAGCATTGAGAGCGTAAACACTCAGGAAGAAGAAGCCTTGCTACGCTCTCCGGGTGTTGGATTTGATGGACAGTAATAAAGTGGCTTTCGTTTTTAATTGTATCAAATCGTGTATTTATTTGCCTTTTGATATTACATTATAAAGTTACCAAATTGTGCATATCGAAGTCTGCAGCCACGAAGTAAAAGAAAGATAATAGTAGCGTTCTTGTACGCGATAGT